CAAGGGGCTGTCAAGTCCGACTTGAAATGTCAAGCCTGACGCGAACTGTCAGAATGGCTTCAGGGATGAAAGTAGATGCACCTTTCCCTTGTACGGAAGAGGGGGGAGAACTAAACCATGGTGGCAAAAGAGTGCCATCTATTTTCACCCAACTGTAAGGCAGCTTGTCCTTGGCAGCTCCTTTGTTTTGAGCTATGGCTGGGATTGCCTTCGGCCGGGCTCTAGATAGCTGAAAATGCATGTTTGCCTCAGATTCCCCGAAAGTACACCTGCATACACTGCTAGACTCATCATGATTGGTTTTCTGTCATTGCGCAGACGAATTGCTCGATCTGCACCCAGCATCCACGGCTTTCTGGTGCTGCTTTATTGATTACCCGGAAGTGCACGCAATGGTCAAACGGAGCACATCGCCTCAGTGTCGCTGGTTTACTTTTTTTCCTTTTTTTTCCGGTGACTGTCCAGCGAGCCACCTGACAGTCGGCACTGAACCCGCTGAGTCCTTTTCTATTACCGCATCTCCAGCAACACGCTGGAGACACAACTCCAACACATACATGGACCAATCAATTAGAATGGGTTGTGCCACTTCCAAGAACAGGGCACACTCACTTGCACTCAATTGGCTCCCCTTCTCCTGCTTGGCTCGAGTTGTTGATTGGCATCTGTTGGTTTTCGTTTTGCTTTGCTGTTTGGTCCCCTTGGCTTCCCTTTTGGGGGGAAATCACTGGCGCCCAAAACCACTGGACCTTTCGGCTGAGGCTGCTTCGCGGCCGCAGCCTTGCCGCCACTGTCCTTTGGGGCTTGCCGGGACAGTCGCGGCGGATGGCAGATCAGTTTCCAACCCGGGGTGTCTGCTTTGGTCTCGAACTCAGGTCCCCCGCTAAAAGTTTAACTTTTAGTGGGTGAAATTCGGAAACTACCACTAAACAATTGACAGCTCGACTCGCAAATCGAATGAACCAATCCGTGGCCCTGGCCAACTCAGAACAAAAACGAGTTGGTTCCCCCCATTGCGCTCCCCAAAAAGTTGAGATACAACTCGGGGCGTCTGTTTTGGTTGTCTCATGTTGTCTCTAACCTGGCTCGAAACTCGTCATAGATGTTAGAAATCTGGGATCTTCTATGCGCGCCAATTACCCAAACCTGCCATGGGAATGGGACAAGGGCAATCTTGTGTTCGCTGATGGTATGCATCGATAAGCGGTGCAGGCCTCTCAAACAGGCAAGGGGGGTAAGCTTACACACCATGCCTCGGTAAACACGCACATGCGAATCGTCCGTCAAAACCGGCTGGCTGAAGTTCCATGTCTTGTCTTTTGAAACATTGAAGGGCTCCCAGACTTTTCTGCAACTTTTGTGCAACAATGTCAGCGTCAACCCAACCACCCTGGCTCCCGGAGAATCAGGGTGTTTCTCCCCACACCTGGACTGAAGGACTAGGCTAGTTGCCATCCACTGGCCAAGAATACTGCAAAGCTCGCGCAAAGCACGGCATGGCGGTGTTTAACTAGAAACCTCTTGCGAAACAACTACTAATTTGCCAGCTGTTTCTCCCAAACTTGCTTGGCGCGTCGCTACAGAACTTAAAACCAAAAGGAGCAGGCCCGAGCAGTCCCAAGCCTGGTGACTGCCTGACTGCCTGAGTGATAGTGCTTGTTTTGTAACATAGGTCTGTGACCACCCAATCCCAAGTACAGGCTTTGCAATTACCTGAATTTTTTGATCCCCATCCAAATTTGTCGCTTGTTTGATCATCCAATGGAAAACAAACGATGGTCCCAAGTCTCTCGCGCCCAAACCATGGCGCGCCTCCGCCGTCTTCGTCTTCTTTTTCAGCTTCTTCATGGCTTTCATCGGCTCTAGGCCTGAGCTCTCAAATTGCATCTCTTGAATCCTCCGTATCTCTGGAAACAACCACTCAAAGCACAGGAATTGAGGTATCTGACAACCACCTCAGCTCCCGGACTCCCACAGGACTCCCACAGGCTCCCGCCTCCCGTTTGGGACCCCGTCCCGGCGTCACCCGCCGTCACCCGCCTGCGCTGCCTGCAGCGGCACCGTCCGGTTTCGTCTTGGCGGTCCTCTTCTTCTTAACCTAAATCAACGAGCGAATGAGTGCAAAACCGCAGAAAGGAAAGAGAACAGAGAAACCACATAAAATACATCTATGAAAAACCAAGAAGCAACACTCAATCAAAGCTGTCGGCCGGAAAACCCAGCAACACTGGAGTTTGTTTCTTGGTTTCCTCGGCTTTCCATTTTGCAAGTACAGCCCCAAACAAGGCACCGAGCCTCCCCCCACCCTCCCAACGAAGCCACTGCCAGGCTGGCAGCTTTCATTTGCCGCGGCAACCTGGCTCTTTCCTTTTCTGGGGATGGACTTGGTCAATCTGATGCCCCATTGACCCCCCCAAAAAAAGCACACACACACACACAAAAGCAACAACAAGAAACAGCTCCACTTGCTAACAAGCTCAAACCAAACTGAAAGTGGCCTCAAGGGCTGAGGTCTCTTGCGTCCGCAGCTTGGGCCGCCAAAGGGCAACTATAGCTCTGGCACCCTGTTTTGAGGTTAGCAGTTTGAGGGAGCTAACGGACACTACCCGTTTTGGCGGGGGGGGGGACCCGGCTGGTCTCTTTGGCCTGAGCACAGAACAAGGAGGCCAATGAAATCTCAATGCTTTCTTTGCGATGAGGGATGTCCGCTCATCCTTCAGGCAGAGTTTTGCCTCTTTCCCGTTGTGAGGCCGCTGCGTATGTTATTAATCTCTTCACTAAATATCTGCAGTTGCCCCAACGACCCGATCGAAAAAAAAAAGAAAAAAGACCACTTGTAAAGAGAAACCAAAGGAACCCGCTCATCCATCCTTAGGTTGTTCAATTAAAGTGAACCAACTGGATTCCATCAAGAACTCAGCTGATTTGGCGTGCAAGTCATACCTCTCTTGCTTGTCTTCCTTGTCAGTTGCACTGAAGCTACCTTTGCACAACACGCATCTATATATGTATATATGCGTGCACGCACACACGTATACACTTTTGTCTATATATCTCTATATTTGTCTTTATACACATAACATTTCCCAACAGCAGGCATGACAGTGGCCAGAGAAGATAAGCCTTGCCTTCGCCATGAGTCCCAACGTGGCGGAAAACGGCGTGGTAGTCTCGATCCATTCCATCTTCCCAAAACGGAGAAACGTGCCTCCAGCCCCCTCCAAACATTTTCTGGGCTGTTTCAAATGGAGTCGAGGGCTGGCCAGTCTGAAGTCTGGAAAAGCACCAAGGGAACCAAATCCTTTCGAAAGCCGAAGCAAGGGGAACGATTGCCTTCCAGCCGGTTCTTCTTCTGGTTTCTCCCAAGCCTTCCATGCAGGGGGCCGTTTCTCAGTTCCCATTCCGACCGATCGGCTTTGTTTTTCGAAGTGGCAATCTTCTTCACCATGAGGTGGACTTGAGTCGCTGCTCTGTGAAGAGAGCACCCCTTCTGATTGTGTTGAAGGTGGTTTTTGACGTTGGGTTGGATAGTCCGTTCTGACATGTTCCATTCATGTTTGACCTTTGATGATCCATTCTGAAGTGTTCAATTCATCTGGGCAAGTACTCAAACTCAAAATCTGCAAATAGAGGGGAGCCTAACGACCTTCCTGGGTCAAACCGTTTTACCTCGCTTGCTCGGTGGGCTCGTCACAATTTCGAGCAAAAGTGCGTCGCGGCCTGGCTATACTAAGCTCTGCTTGGCAATAGGGCTTGCGCGGAGCAGAAAGCGAGGCGGTGCCACAATTTCTTCACTTGTTAAAAGCACACCAACCCATCCCTCTTGTTGGCCGAACGAAGGATACCAATCCATCCCTTTGGCTTGGTGATTGAAAGGACGAACCACCATATCGCTGGTCCCAGATTCGCAACGCCGAGTCAAGTTGTTTCAGCGCGTGGGCCAAAAGATGGTTCCCAGTGCCTGCTGTGGGGTTGTTTAAACAAACGCTGAAGGAACACCATCCATGGGTTTGCTTGGTGCTGCGTGTCCATCTGAGACAAAGCGACTGAGCACCAGTTACTCAGTTTTCCGACCTGGAAGCGGACGGGGAAGTTGGAACATCATCTTGAACTGGGCATGCAGCGAATGCAATTGCTTCATGCACCTGTCAGCGCCAACAGACTGCGTCACAATCAACACCCCGGTACTAAAGGGCTCTATGCAAATCTATGCAAATATTTAGAAGATATTAGAAGGGAGGCGGCCCCAAAGGTTGGGGGTGCGTCCTGCTATCCTTCACTTACCCCAGTTTTGATTGTGGCTTAAGTGCACGCGACGTTCATGCAAACCCCGAAGCTCCAGCCTTCCATGACATGCACCCCACGCTTTTTCTAGCTTCGGCGATCGACTAAGCTAAGCGGGTGATCAGTGACACTCCATCCTGCTGTGGGGTTGTTTAAACAAACGCTGAAGGAACACCATCCATGGGTTTGCTTGGGGCTGCGGGTCCATCTGAGACAAAGCGACTGAGCACCAGTTACTCAGTTTTCCGACATGGAAGCGGACGGGGAAGTTGGAACATCATCTTTAACTGGGCATGCAGCGAATGCAATTGCTTCATGCACCTGTCAGCGCCAACAGACTGCGTCACAATCAACACCCCGGTACTAAAGGGCTCCATGCAAATCTATGCAAATAATTAGAAGATATTAGAAGGGAGGCGGCCCCAAAGGTTGGGAGTGTGTCCTGCTATCCTTCACTTACCCCAGTTTTGATTGTGGCTTAAGTGCGCGCGACGTTCACGCAAATCCATGCAGAGGTCTCAGGGCCAAAGCAAGAAAGCCTCCCAGACCTGTCGATTTGGGGGAAAAGGGCACTGATCTATTTTGGTTGGTCTTAAAAAGTGCCGCTCTTTCAAAGGAAAACTGGACATCATTGCAGGTCTGGGCTTAAAGACTGAGTGAGGCTCAGTAAGAGGGGGGAAAAGACCCCCAGCGAGACCCCCATGGCTTCATACCGCTCAGTCGATCTTGGACCAGGTGACGGCGCGATATTTGCCGGCGATGCACAACTTCACCTGCGCATTGATTGCGCATTCCACGCGCGAAGACTCGAGAACCTTCTGGACTTAGCGCAGTGAAAGTAGAGGCCATGCCTTGATGTTTTTCAGTACCCGGCCAAACCAGATCCTCTAGTTGAACACAAGCTGAAAGATCAAGATGGACCCTGATTTCCCGTGTAGTTGCAAAGCCAGGACAAATCGCCTGCCATCCAAACTCAGCCCAGAGTCAGGCACACCACGCACCCTAAGTTCAGAGTCTCGTTCAGAGTTGGGCAACTCTTACATAAAATATAGATAGTTATATGTAAATATGATATACCTACATACCTTTCTGGGTTATGGCCATGAATAACGGCCATAACCAAATTTCAATTAAATAAGCTACCTACAATTACATGAACACATAACATACTTACAACCTGCAATTTAAACCATATGAGGCCGCATGACGTTTTCCGGACAAATCCTTAGTCAAGGAAGCTCCCAGAAGCGCGAGGCCGAACGCCTCGTACTGATCTCCAGGCTGGCCATAGTCTCTGAGGTGTGCAACGTCATCCTGGCAAAGGTTGCTTCAAGCACAACAGCCAAACGAATCGACCTCACCAAAACATACACCAAAACCGGCAAAGCAAAATGCAAACAATGAAGCCTACCAGATTGAAGGATACATGGAGGAACCACCAAATGGACTTAAAATGCACATCAGCCTATGCCTGGTGCTCGTTTTAGGTATGAAGCAAGTAGAAACCACACCTCTTGGGTGCAACGAAGCGTTTCGGTACGAAAGGTGGCCTGGCTCAATCCCGGCGTAAACCCGAACAATGGTTCCAATTCTGCTCTATATTTCATCCGCTGAAAAGAAAGCTATTTTTGGAGGACACCCCGGGTGAGATGTGTAACTCACCCTTCTACGATGTGTGGCAGGCACCTGGATCTTTAGTTGTCTTTTTTCCGTCCAACTGTGCATTTTATTCTATCGAACATGTTCTTGCATGTTATCAACAACACCTCAAACAACAACTCTCCAGAGACTCTTTGGGGCGAGCTATTGCCAACAAACTCGCCATTGGTCAATACATTCTGCACCTGGCAACAAAACAACATGTTGACAACTAAAACTACATAACATCCAGATTATGCAATTAAAAGTTACACTCAACACACTTGATCCCCTACGCACACAGAGACATGACATTGTCCTTCTACAAGATGGAGACATATTCAGCGATGGTTGTTTCTTGCCTTGCACCGTGTTTGATTAGGTGTTCAAGGACTTGAGGTGCGCCCTGTTTGCCTTTACTGCTTTCGGACAACAGGGATGCTGTGATAGAGTGGTCAGTTCTCAGGATACGTCAATGTGAACCATCACCTCTGTGCAAATGCGTTGCATCTATGATGTGCTGAATCTGGCTAAATGAGTGTGATCAAGGCAACAAAGAAGCGCAATGGGAAAAGTATTGCTTCAACTACTAAACACACACACACACACACACACACACGCACGCACACACGCACGGACACCGTCCAAAAAAGACAACCCCAGAAGAATGCATCATCAGAAGAGCGCTGCTGCAAGCCATTTCTAGCAAGAAGTGGCATCCACTCTTCAAAATGGTTGCATTTCTTCATTGTTTTTGGAACACAATTCCCGCCAGGCGTTTCAAAAAGGCGCCTCCCAGTCATTGGTCTGCCTTCTGAACCCCCTTTGCTGAAGTAGAGTTTCCTGAGGGTCTATCTCCAAACAGGGCACGCCTGAAAATAGCTTCCCTTTTGTCTTCCTGCAAGCCAAACAGCTCCAACAAAAACGAAGAGCTCCCTTAAGCACTGGAGTGCCCCTTCGCCAAATTGTCCAAAAGGACACTGCAGTGGCCGGGCCCAGCGGCTTGGCAAGTGAAGAGCAAGCAAAGGACCCACAGGAGCTCGTGCTTCCCTTACCCCTTAAAACTCCAAGCTCTGGGGAAGTTAATCTTGTACAGACATATAGCCCATGTTGCCCAACAAGTTGAAAAATTGTGTTTTTAAGAGGTAAGTTCCCATCGAACTCTTGAGGTAGCCATTGGGGCCCCACTTACACGCCTGGGTCCTGTGTGGCTTTGCATGCTGGCGCGCGGAAGGACCCAAATTTGGTGCGGGAGTTCGGTACCTAGTTCTTTGGTCAAACACTTTCGTTATGCACGGTTGCCGGTGCCCTAGGGTTCAACCCCCATAAAAAGAATGGGTGACCCAATTGGGATGAAGAAAATCCCAAGCTAAACAATGGTGGTTATATGCAACCCCCATTGTTTTAATGGTGGTTTGAACCCCAGGGCGTGAGCGGGAAAACAGTTCTCCAAAGGTTACAATTTGAAGCCCGGACTAGCGACTTGGCAGCAACGAGTCTTTGAAAACGAAGGCATCGCCCATTCCCTGCCGGCTTCAGCTAACCGTCCTACAAAACAAATCCGTGGGGTTCTTTCGCACCTCAAAAGCGCCACATCGCCCAGCGACACGCCATCGCCCGCGCCCGAGACTTCTTGAGCTCAACCTGTAGGGCGTTCTGTGGCACAATGGCGCTCGCCTCCGGTGCGAAGGATCGGAGTCCCTTCGCGAATCCAAGGTCTGGCTAAGTGAAGACTTTGAGATCGGGCCGTTTTGTTTTAAAGCAGAGGGTGATGCTGAGGATGCTATGAATCCAACCTCGTTGTGGATATCGTCCCGCCAGGTGCCATGAAAGCCAACGGGTCCTGTGCGACAACCACAAGTGTCTTCCCATAGCTTGCCCAGTTCCAAGAAATATGCATCAGGCAGGAGGCTTCTTCCAAGCTGAGATGGTTGGGATTGAAGCTGCCCCCATGAAGGGCCTAGTTAGTCTACACAAAGGACATGTGTGACATATGCCAAATGTACATACAGGCGCGTATGCAGGAGTGTATATTATAAACGTATATGTCCTATCGGAATGTCCGTACAACAAGTTGTTTCCAGCATGTGCAATGACAGGTAGCACCTTTGCCGGCTGTCTCCCTGAGTCTAATGTGTCTTCATCCCTTGGTGCGCAGGTGGACAAAAACACAGCGAAGGCTCCCGGTGACTGCGTTGCTACCGTTTTACAAGCTTAACATACCAGGGGCAACATGTAATTCCGATGAGGCAGCTTCACATGTCACGCTGCATTCGTTGTGCCAAGGCGATCAGAACTTCCAGCGGCAAGTTGGCAAGTGTGTGCGCGCGGTTGTATGCGTTTGACATGTCATTATCTGTATCGGCTGGTCTCATCGGCCCTCACGTCGATGTTTCTGAAGGACCCCATCCAGGGTTTGGTTTCCGTTCTCTTTTCTTTTCTACGGCCTGCCAGACAGTCCATGAGTCTATGATTTTGAGAAACATCCGATCTGATCGTAACTTGCACAAATGAATTCGCTGTTTCAACACGAGAATGTCTGCAGAGAAACCTGTCTGTTTTTTGAGCAGGGCGTTGCATCAAGTCTTCTTCCCTTCCACACAGGAGCCCTCGTTTTCGCGAGTCAAAGTCAACACCCGGAATTGAGATGAACACCCTGTAAATATGGTCTTTGACAAAAAGAGGATATCCGCTCAGGTTTATTTTAGGACTATCCCCTACCCTCCAACCACCTCAAGTCTTGCATATTGAGCTTTGGGCTGCGTCAGCCACCGCGGGCATCGCGCCCTGCGATCGAAGAACAAGGCAAGGGAATTGTTCAGGCACCTTTTCAAGATGTCTACAGGAAACCAGCTACAGGATGATGTCTACAGGAAATTAGCCAAACGCACATGCACACACACACACACCAAACAATGAATCTTGTGTAGAACTGCCTGTAGCTAGATTCTTGGATTTCGAGAAGACTTCGTCACTGTCAAGGTGGTTCCCTTGGTATCACAGAATAATGGCCCCCTATTTTTCCACAGCCATGACCAAATGATGTTGATCCCAGATTACTCGAGCTGGCAGATTGGATTCCCTCAAAAGTGCCCCAGATCCCGTTTTTTGCGGAACGCTCCCCTGCCCCGGAAAAGATTCAAGGCGGTCTACCCTTATTCCTTCAAACCCAGCTCAGGGGCCATCCCTATTGAATCCAAAACTGATGAGCCACTGCAAGAAGAGCCACGGGAAAGTTGCACTGGATCTTTGCTGGAGATGCCTCCCTGCTTGGTTGGACCTAAATCCGCTGCATGTCCACCAAAGAGCCCCCAATATCCCCAACTAGGTCCTCCAGCCCAGAGGTTACAATAAGGGCACCCTTTGTTCCCCCAAAAAAGGCTGGAAGGGCACTACTGGGGAACCTAGGCAATTAGAATTCAATCATTTTTCTGATTGAAGGAGAGCCTGGTTAAACCGAAGTCTTGCATTTCGAGAGGTACACCGAGCGCAAGTGATCCTTGCCAGGCTGCGCTGTCAAGGCCAAGTGTGCCTCAAAACAGGGGGACATCTTTTCTCATCCACGTGGTGAAATCGAAGACAAAGCAAATCTCGAAGTACTGCAGCTGAGAGCTGTTCTCAAGCAACCTGGAAACCTGTTTCGGGCGCGATGGGGCCGAGTACAACGCTGTTCGGATGTTCTCACTTGGACAAGCTGCCACAATCGAACGACAACCACATCAGTGGCAACCATAATGAAAACAAGCACAAATAATCTAAGAACTCAGCTACAAGACATTCTACTTGAGATCCTTGGCAGGGTACTTCGCAAATTTCCAGGCGAACTGAAAGAAAGCCCCTCGCATCCTCCCTCGGCACCTGGTTAGTTGGTCCAACTGGGCAAAATAAAACTCGTGCTCGTGTTTAGTCCATGTCAAAGCAAAGAATAATCTGAAAACAAGGCTGGACATCTTCACTCGGTTGCTTTCTGCTCCCCTACTAAAAGTTTAACTTTAGTGGTTTAATTCGGAAACCCATTTGTTGGCAAAAAGTTCAAGTCCTAACATCCCTTGGCAAAATGCACCAAAGTTCAGAAACCTGTTGACAAAAACAAACTCAGCCCGGATGCCATGCAAGCTACCCGGATGCCATGCCGCACCTAAAAGCGGTCCACAAATTGGGGATCGGTTGTCACATCCCAACCCTGAGCTGTCGATTTTGCCCTTGGCCCAACTGCCGGATGCACCCAAACAACTATGTTCAGATTATTTTTGAAACCAGGGGAACCTACACATGTTGTTCTCACCAACCTCAAAAGGGGCACTGAGCCTCAAAAATACACTCCCATATTGGTAGGTATTCAAAGGAAAGCCAGCCACAAACCCGCCAGATTCCAGAGACCACTATTTTGAGAACCCCCCAAACAACAAAACAAAACAACACCTACACTCCAACAGTACTTGTGGACGAGTCCCCGATGGTGAGCTCCCCATCCCACCTTTCGCCCATCGATGAGCCAGTTCAAGTGCTGGCCCTGGAAGTCTGCATTTCAACACACTCCACGCAGGTTCTTTGGCTTGTCTTCTTAATAGGCTGAATGTGTACGTTCACTAGGTCCTCCAGATTTGAGAGGTTAGATAAGGCTACCCTTTTTTCTGCAGTCGGTTGTAGTAGGGGAACCCTCCCCCAAGAAAGGGTAAAAGGGCACTACTGGGGGGACCTAGTTCGTATATAAAGCCCTGGCGTGAACCCCTAGTTTATGGTTTAATCATATAACTGTATGGGATACTTCTGGGAACGTCAGCCTCCAAAGGGGTGCAGCATGGGCCTTGATTGATTTTCGGCTTGCCTCTCAAATTTCCCGAAAGGGGTACCCACACGTGAAGTCCCAGCCAACAACTAGCATTCAAGGGGTCCACCTAAAATCGATGGTAAACAAGCAACAGAGCTTTAGAAGTGCACCTATGCAGCTGCCTGTGTCAATGGATAGGAGTGCGGGGAGACTTTGCTGGAATTCTCACCGAGCCAAGGGGAGTTGGCCCTGTTTGATTGCTACCTGGAGATTTCCCGACTTCCTAAACCCGAGCCAGGCGTATACAGGAAATGTTTCCTGGGGTGTACAGCACACGCTATCCATGTGGAATCCCGTATGGGTGAAACCTTTGAGGTCCTTGTAGTTCTCACAAAAAAAATGAGCCATTTAAGGCAAAGCGATGTTCGCCCTCTTCATGGCCAAATAATTGCAACGCTTGGTCCAGCCTAAACAAGACATACTTCAGGAATAATGTTCTCTCGGCTCTGGTGAGCATATCTTTGGACATGGCTGACCAATTTACAGGCGTCATTGTGTGGATCGAATCTACGCCCTTGATATTCCTTGTTTAAAGCAAATCAACGGATCCCCGAGTGGCATATCAGTCGTCACTCAGCCCCTGGATGTGTCTAAGGGGAAACAAACGCTCAAGAGGACCATGTTTTGTCCTAGTGTTGCGCACACACCCCTGCAAAACCTGATGCTGGGCCATTCAGCCTCTTTTATAAGCCAACCCACCCGGACAGGGGTGCTCTTGAAACGAAAGCTGATTTGTGTTTAATCTAATTTTTCTAAATCACAGGCCGGAAATGAATACCCCAGTAGCACGGACATTCATCATGGGCTGTCGCTCACCTTGGAAACTTAGAGGCACAGGCGTCTCTGTACATCGCACAACCATAGGTGTCCCTTTGGAAAAATAGATGGCCCTGGTAAATGGAATAAAACTCAGCTAAACCAGTGCCTTCTATTTTTGACCACACTAACCTGAAAAGGACACCCATGCACACAAAGCAAAGGAATTCACAATTGGATGCTGCTGAACCCAAGGAAGACATAGCAACCTGCCCGCCCTCTCCAATGCTCCGGGCATCCGGCGTGGATCATGTACCGCAAGGTGGGCCCCAGCAGTCTGGTGCCGGCCACAGCCTCCGGCCTCTGCACCCCCAAGTGGCGTGAAGGCAGTGACCAATGCGGGAAGCATGTTGTCTCAAGATACTGAAACTAAGCGCAAGAAAAATAAGCTCAGGTGATATCCCCAGCATGCGGTGCTCTTTTTCGTGCTCGCACCACCCCGCAGCCCTCGCAGAGCCTCGTGGAACCTTGGTGGAACCTTATCTCAGGGCCGCCCCAGACCACCCCAGAGCCTATCTGGGCGGAGACCGCAAAGCTTTCAGCTGTTGGGGAACTATTGGAACCATTTCTCTTGGTTGACAGAGTATTTTGGGGAAGCCATCAAAGAAGGGATCGGAGTGGACCCCTTCTGACGGGTTAAGCCGAAGTAACAGCATTGGCCAAAGGAACTCCCAAACGTACCATGTCCCTCCCCTCACCTGCTGCTTGTTCAAGCTTTTTTGCCCTAGACAAACATGATGAATCCATCAGGCAACAACAAACTCAAGCTTGGACACTGAACAGGGAAGCCAAAATCATATGTAAGGAAACACAGGTTCGGCCGCTTCTGGCGAGTGTCCCCACCGATTGCTTCGGTCTTGAATTGTGGCTAAGCTCAATAGGGATCCCTAAACAGTGGACTCCTACATGATGAGCTCCCTGTACCCCAAAAAGGCTCGCCTGAAATGGGCGGATTAATGTTGCTCATATAGTCTGGGTGTTAAATTGGGGGCCTGGTCAAATTGAACAAGTACCCAGCTCCAACTAGGACAGTTGAACATTGTGAGCTATTTGGCTGTGGGTCAAAACCCTGTACCCCTGGTGTTCATTCGCCCCAAAATGGAGGCATAGGTTATGACCCATGGCCCTTCAGCATCCAAAGCAGTGCTCGCTTCGCTGCTTCGCCTGTCCGGATGCAGCACTTTGTCCGGCTCACCATCCAGGAGGATCTGAAAGAACTGCGGCGCGATCAAATGCAAAGACTTTGGTGAGCTTTTTGGAATGATGTGGTTGAACGTTGAGGGTGGATGTGGGTCGATGTTGGTCTGAACTTGAGATTTCGCTGCTTCAAAGTTTGGTTGTGCTGGGAGGGTAAAATTTGAGAGTTTCTTCTACCTTTTCTCGAGTAAAAGATTGAGGGATCCCCCTAGACCTGTAGAAACCCATCGGTGAGCGGCCCTTTTCTTTCAAGTCAAGTAAGCTAGAGGTATCGAAAACATGGGGGCACCACTCTTGGTTGGCAAATTCTTTGGGCGGTCAAACGGGGTGAAAGGTCGGGTACGTGGCTAATTGGGGCACCAAATGGACAGCAGGGCCGTGTTGTTGGAAAAAGGCCTCTGATTCTGGATACCCAAAATCAGATTGAACCCGGCAAAGGCACGTTTCGTGCTCGTGTTCCATGCTTGTTCTGTGCTTTAGCTTGCGTTTTTGGCCACTTCTCCGAAAGCTCCTGAGTTGTGTCCCGTGGCTCGAACCTTTTTGACTCTGTGCGTTTTGAGGTCCATCTTGGGGTGGCTTTAACAAAAACGAGGAGAACCGCCATTTTGTGGTCTGTCAGAACATGGAGATTCCACTGCCCCTGGTCTGTCAGGTTAGATGTTAGCACATGGCAGGCAACAGTTTGGTAGTCACCCCGCCCCCACCGGCCCGGCCCCAGTCAGGTTACACCTCAATATTTTGGTGTGCACGACCCACCCTTGGTCAGGTTACATGTTCGTCGAGGGATTTTGAAGGTGGGGCTTCGTTAGTCTCTGTGATACAAGCAAAACTGATTTGCTCGCGCCGCGAATCCACGCCTCCCGCCGCGTTTCACCAAGGGTGACCTTGACCGCACAGCGAAGACCGCACGGCAGGCGCGTGGGTCTGTCTGAGGGGACGCCCC